ATAAGGCAAGACAAATAACTTATTATTTTCCAGGCTGGTACGAGGCTTTATCGCATGAGTTCTCCTGAACCGTTCCAAAATGGAGAGGGATTATCACAGAACATTGCATTAAAATCTCCCCTCTCCCTTGTTATTTTATTTTCCATCTAAAATGAATCTGTGCCCAGCCAGGCTCAAACACGGCATTAAAGAGCTCATGCTATTCCAACAGAAACTGCCAACCCCCTCCTCGCCTGCTTTTCTTTCCCCCTTCCTCTGTGCATTTATAACCCCCCCCCCCGTAAGAGCACACTCTGCTCTGTAGGCGATGGCACTCTCTGCTAAGCTACCCATACAAAATAGATAGGCTTCCGTCCCTCTATTTAGACTAAGGAAATCGCTGTGACCTTTGTGCATGAACAAGGAGGCGCTGCGCCTTCGCCGACTCCACCTGCAGGAGAAAGATGTGACCGGAAATAATTCAACCTCAAATCCTCAATTTTAAAATGTGATGGCTGCCAGCGCCGACACAGGAGGCCGACTATTTGACGCCTAAATTCAATATATTCATTTTTCCTCTATTAAAGGTTTGATGCGAAGCCTTTTTGAAAACACCAACCCCTTTTCCGTCATAATTGCACCTCCAAACACGACCCCCTCCACAGTCTGAAACAAACCGCCGCGCAGCGCCGTGTAATGGGATGCAGAAGCGGGCGTACGGCTCGTGTTTTACCCGAGACCCCCCCCCCCTCCTCCGGTACACCTGCTCACATATCTATCCCCCCCGCCGCTCCAGGCCCCCATTAAGAGCAAACGCATTCCAGAAAGGTCACGGAATGACGGCACTTCCAACTTACTGAAAGCCTAATGCACTGCGAGGCCGTAATGAATGTTGCATCCATCCATTGTGAAAGGCTCTCTTCTCTCGGGCCGGGGATCAAAAGCGAAAAGCAGCGGAGACGGAGCGAAAAGCCAGGTGAGTGTCGCGCGGACACCGGCCTCCAGCGGAGCGGCGTCAGAGGTCGCCAATCTCCTTGGGAAAAAACCAACAGAAAAGTGGGGCAGAGAGGGAGGGAGGGAGGGAGGCGGCGCTCCTCATCCCGAAAGTCAAGGCCCATAAGCGCCTGTCAGTGCCCGTCGAGCTGCTGCATCTTTTATGAGGAAAAGCCCTGTTGCTTATTACAATATTTACAGACGTTTAAAGATTGCGAAGCCGGCGTTGTGGCGGCGTTAGCTCCCTCGCCCTGGCAGAAGATTTTATTCCAGATTTGTTAAATCGAATCACTGCACATAACTGCAGGGAGAGCGAGACTTGTTTCTCCTGTTGGCACGCGGAGTGAAAAGGAATCGTCCTCTCTGAAACCCTCGTGACGCCGTTTAATGTCACAGGCGGCGCCGCGTGGAAAAAAAAGGGGGGCCGCTCCGCTGATGTCTGTTAAAGCAGTAATGTCATCACACGGGGGGGTTATGTCACTTCTGCAGCTCTGTTTATAGTCTGTAAGTGAATTTATCCCATCTGTTCCCCCGGGAAGAGGGGGGGGGGGTAGCTGTCCTACAGCAGTGCCGTGATCTTTGACACTTTCCATACACACACACACACACACACAATATGGAGACGAGTGGATGCACTCTCACTTCCATCACGTCAAAGCGGAGAGAGAGACAGAGAGAGAAGCTTCACCGGACCAGAACTCCGTTTAATCAACGCCGCCGCCGCTCAGGTATCATTTCGTATATGAGGAACCGCAGCCTCATATCACACCAACGGCACATCATTCTGGTTTGATGCATTACGCCATGTTCCCGTTTCCTCCATTTTCCCTTTTTTTTTCTTCCTCTCCTTTGGTTATTGGGAGGGCGACACACAGAGCGACGCTATCCATCAGAGACTGGAAACAAACTTGAATAAATATTTCATTAGATTATTCCGTGATTTAATGTGCTTCCGCTTGGCTGGTGTCTGCTGCAATATCTCCAGTCCATTTATAAACGCGTCAACACAGTGGCACCGGAGACCAGCTTGATATCGATACAGCGCCACACCGGGGGGGGGATTTGAACACTAAGATGGACAAGCAACAGCGAACTGAACGCGTGCAACACGTGCACGAACAACGTCTTCTGCATGGGCCACAAGTAGAAGCCAATTAGAGTTTTCACAGCCCGTGATGAATCCATCATCAGGAAATCCTCCACCTATTAATACCAATAGGGCGACAATAATTGGCAGGCCATCGCCGGCGTGGGCAGAATTAATCACTTGAAGATTCAGACTAGACGGAGTTTTTAATTGGCAAAGTCAGCCACTGTTTAGGGAGGCAACCAGCTGATCACCCGAGAGACCGCCGCTTCAGACAATGCACATTGGCTAATCCTCTCGAGTCGAGTCATTACGGCCGTGCATTATTATCACGCTTTACAAACTAATTCCATGTTTTCCCTGGTGGATTACGAAACAGTTGAATAGGAAAAGAGGAAATAATAAAAACACACAAAAGCGCAATGTGGGTGACACGGAAAATCAAAATGACGGAAAAAGTGCCGTGACTACAAATGCACGACACGGAGGGGTGTGTGTGTGTGTGTGTGTGTGTGTGTGTGTGTGTGTGTGTGTGTGTGTGTGTGTTTACTCTGCATCAATGCATTTGTCCGTCAGTTTGTGGGAGCCTTTCAAATAAGGATCCATTCTCATAATCCTTTTTCTAATATGATTAAATAACTTCAGAGACCAATGATGTATTAAAAAAAAGGTATAGAAACCTCTGTGTGAAGAACATTCGGGATTAAGCTTTCATTGTACTCGTTCTCAGGTGAGAGGGAATAATGCAGCTATCTGCTAAACATGTTAACATTTGGGCTATTTTTGTTGTTTTCTCACTTGAAGATTTATAATAATTGAAAATTGTTATTATGAAGATGCAATGACCAAAAAAAAATAGATTCCAAAATTCAGAAAACCATTGGCGAGTGAATTATTCACAATGTTTATGCTAAGCTACTAAGCTAGTGGAACTATTCCACAGCTGCTGTTGCTCCCGATGTTTCACTTGGATTCTACGGCGATTCATCAAAGCTCGGCTGCCCGTCGACAGAAACACCTCCAAGAGCCTTTATTGTCTTTGCCACCACGATCAGGCGACCATCACCGAACAGCTAAATGCTGCAATCGTTATGCAACACAGGGCAATATTATTTTAGTAGACGTATGCACACACATGCACACGCGAACACGCTTTGAGGAATGCCAAATGAGTGCTGCACTGAAAACAACGTCCTCCCGTCCACACGCGGACAATATTAGCTCAAAAGATGTTGATTTATGAAATATGTGGCTAGAATAGCAGCTGTGACAGGACAACCCAATGGCGCAGTGCATCCAGTATGGACCCACACATACCTGGACATGTTTATCCAAATAACTACAGCAGATATTTTAGATCTCAGGCTAAAAGCAGCACAGAAATGCACAGAAAGTATTTATTTATATGCTTTTTCCATTTTGGGGGGATTCTGTGCTGTGATCTGCTGTAATGTCAATTATATAATATCATATTCATGAATGTATAGAGATAAATGCAATCCATTGAGACTCTATGGAAGGGCTTTGTGGATATAGACCTCTGCAATGGTAACACATTTCATATCTTTTGATGGTGATTATATATGTCACAGAGGACATTGTTTGCAATGTTTGCAAATGTCATTTACATTAGTGTCACAGATCATCGTTCGTCTCATTTGTCACTGCAATAAAAAGCTCATCTCCATTACTAACATCCCACACACATCAACATCTGCTCTGCAGGCGCACAAGATGGGAAACACAATGGTGAGCAATTGAATAAGATAGACTTTTCCTTTTTTTTTTTAAACCAAAAGTGTGACAATAAGAGGGCCGTGTCGTCGGGTCGGCACCGCGGGTCGGTTTCAGAAAAGAAGAGGTTTAAGCGCACAAACGACAGACGTCTTGAAGATGCTTCCTCGCTTCCTTTGAGTCATCATCGAAATGTTAAAAACGCCGATGACAATGAATCCGATATCGTCGTTGTTGGTACTGTATCATTGTGTATTATGTATTATTATTATTATATATCACAGGGAATTCTCCAGAGGAAAAAGGGTATTCAGAAAATCAGTTGGTTGAAAGTGGAGGTGATAAAGATGGTGATGACGTCTGCATTGCGTGACGTAGGGTGAAATGGTTCACCTTTGATAACCAACTTCATTATGGATGTTGGAAGTCGTCCGCGCGTGTGTATGTGCGCGCGTGCGTGCGCGCGCGTGTTCAAAAACCCTCCGCCTCCATTTTTTTACCGCGAGCAGCGCCGCGTCGCTCCCAAAACCCTCCGCGCGCCGATGTTCGTCATCTTGCGTCAGCTCTCGCGTCCCCCCCCCCCTTTTTTTTTTTTTTTTTTTGAGAGACGTCGGTGGCGTTTGAACTGATTCGGGTCGAGTTTGAACCCGACGCAGCCACATTGGCACGCGGGGCGACGATGAATAAATGATGCCACCCCTCCGCAAAAAGAAGAAGAAGAAGGAGGAGATGGGATTGGCAAAGGGGGGGGGGGGGCTCTTTAAAAATGCATCCTTTCCACGCGCCTCTGCCCCACTTAAAGAGCGTGTTGGGGAAATAGCAATACAGAACATGACACACGCACACACACACACGCACAGTTTGTCACCCCATCGTTGGTGACACCGCTACTCATATGTGCACACAAAACAATACGGAATTAGAATAACTTTAAAAGATCATAACTAGGACAAAAACACACCTCATGACAGTCAGGTGACTGTTTTTGACCAATGATGCACCTGACGAATTTCACGATGATCAGCTTAATCAAATATTTAAAAAAATATATATATATAAATATAAATATTTTTTTAAAAAGTGATTAAAAAGAACGTATTTTTCCGCGTCAATATTTCAACACGTGAATTCAAAAGGGTCCAATAAATGAACGCAAACGTGCCTCTGTACACGGGCCCGGCGGGCGTCGGAGGGGGCGGCGCGTTACCTTTGTGCATGCCGGTGTACCGGTCCTTGAGAACTGTCAGCTCGTGGATTTTCCCAAACTGTTCGAACAGCGGCTTCAGGTCTTTCTCCTCCAAGTTCCGCGGTATCTGCCCGATAAACAGCTTGATGGCATCTTGGTCTTTCATGTTGCCGCTCTCCGGATGGATTGAAATGGGTTCTGACCCGTTCATGGGTTTCGGGGATGTGGTCTGAGGGTACTGGTGCTGATGTGGGATCAGGAGCAGTGGCTGCTGGGTCGGTGAAGCCCCCGGTCCGCTGTAAACCAGGCTGGAGTGAGCGGGCTGCTGGGGATGCTGCTGCCTTCTTGTTTCAGTCTGAGTGAATCTGGCCATTCCGAGCTGGGAGCGGAGTGGATAATAATGACAACACACACACACACACACACGCACACGCACACGCACACACGCGGTACACGCTCGCTCGCTCACGCGCGTACGTACGTCGCGCACACGCTGAGGGAGGCAGGCACTCAGCTGGAAACCAGGCTGGCTTTCTATCCGACACACAGCGCACACGCACACGCAGGACGAGGCAGGGGTAAGGGGGTGGGGGGGGGGGGGTTGGGTGTGTGTGTGTGTGTGTGTGTGTGAGGCGGACGAAGGGGGGAGGGGGGGAGGGGGGTAATGGCGTCTGGATCGGCGCGCAGGAACCATATTAGACGCTCTGGAGCGACACCAAGTGGACGAGATGAGGTACTCCAGCGTGAGAGCGGCGGAGAGGGTCGTTTCATGCGAGATGTAGTTTTTTTTTTTTTTTTTTAATAACTGGGCATGTTTGCATTTCACTCCTCATCCAAACGGTGGTACATTAAAGCTTAATTAAAACACTTTTTTTTATACACTAAAATACCCCTGAGGGCTCTTTTTTTTATTCATCAGACGCGCACAGGTGTTACTAATAACTTTAACGATGGCTCCTTTTCTATCCGAGTGACAGACGTCGTATTTACACCTGCGCGTGGTTCATTACAAAGGCCTAAAGCTCTCAATTAAACATTTGACCAAGTGTACGCGCCGAGCATATGAACTCTTGAAATGAATGAATGATGTGCAAAGGTGGCAGCACTATTTAGACGGCCGTTGGTTGCGCATAGTTCAGTGTAAGTGAAATCTGCGAAAACAGGGGAATCTTTACGTCTAGAATTTGGTGGAGAAAAGTGCAAAGTCCTTTAGACAAGTCCAGGTTTGCTCCTCGTCTTCCCAAGTCTCAATGGTGAAAAGCTGATGTCAAAATCTTCAAAATCAATATGTTTTTCTTTAGCTCTCCTGCTGATGTTATCTGACGGGTGTGCAGGCATTGCAAAGTTGTAAAGAGCAAAACAATTCTGTGCTAAAGTTTCCTTTCTTACCTCAGAAACTCGGTTTGCACTTTAAAACTGTCAGATCGTTGTTAATTGTAGGAGCTTCCACCATACAAATACAGTGTAAAATAATTGCAGTATGAATTTACTACTGAAGGTGATCACGCATGTCGTGCAGTAGACGCTGCTGCAAGCAACAAGTGCACTATCTCTTTAAGCAAATGCTATCTACAATCTGTCTATTAGATTGAGTCAAGGGACCAGCAAACATTAACCACAATTAGCAGACTTACTGTAAGTACTTTTCAAATAGCGAGCAGGATAATCCCCCAAGAGAGGGGTTATTTGCATCATTTGCCTTCTCTTTGCAGACACTGTCAATAGCACTCGGCTCCAAATCCACCACGAAAAAAAACGAATCATTAATTAACTGTTAACCGAAAGGAGAACAACGAGGAAAAAAAAAACCTAAACAACCTTTTAACTTAAACGCATCCGCTGGACACATTTCTAGTTCCAGCCCGTTCAACAGTGGATTGAATAAAGTGATATACACTGTCTGTGACAGCAGGCTCAGGACTGAGAGGTGAATCAATACGAGCTTCCTGCTGCTGCTGCTTCTCATCGCTGTGGAAGGAGCGGCGCCGCAGGGGGTCGTCGCCCTCCACCACCACCACCACCCGCAACTCTGACTCCCGAACGGCTGCATCACCGTGTGAGCGAATCGCCTTCAGCCGCCTCCGACGACCACGATCGGAACGCAGCGATCCGAAGGGCCTCGGCGTGCGGCGGGAGACGGACCGACCACCAAAGTTCACAAGTAGAGGTTTGCTGAGAGCCACACAGATGAGCTGTTTTCACTAAGGGAGGAGAATCTTTTCACCTATTGGACCGGCGCGCGTGATATTTCCTTCCCGCGAAGCTCAATAAATGCCAAGAGTGGAGGGAAAGACATCAGCAGGCCGGGGGAAAACATTGACACGACCAGTCGATAAAGCGGTGGGTGGCGGCCGCACAGACGCGGGGCTTTAAATTGTTTGTTTCTTTTTCTTTTTCTTTTATTGTAAACATGCTCTCCAACGGGGCTCTCAGAAGAAGCGAACCCCAGAGCGCCGTGCGTCACCGCCGAAGCTGCCGTTTGTCTTTTCCATCGATCAGAGGAAGCGGGGTGCTGGCTGATCGTGGCCCCCCCCCCGGGCCCCCCCCCCCCTCTCTGAATGGCGGTTGGCAGGGCACCGGAGTCCAAAGTGGACGTGTTCGGCGGACGTGCTCAGCGTGTTGGCCCTCTCACGTCTGCGGGGGGGGACGCAGTGCAGTGAGCACTGAGCCGTCATGGCGCCGGCTCTCCGCGCTCCGGTGGGAGGCCGAGCGGGCTATTTTTAGGGATGTGGTCAACACGAGTGTGTGTGTGTGTGGGGGTGGGGGGTGTTGAGGACTTCCACTTCATGGTTCTTTATTGACCAATGCCATTAGCGGCGGGCCGAGCTGAAAGCAGAGACAAGAAATCAATAAAGGTCACACTATTAGTGCAAACTAAAAAGTTACATACAATCCGACCGGCTGGCGTTTATTCTGCTGCTTGTTAGCCGGTCTGGACCCTCGGAGGGAGGCGGGCAGGCTGGATCTCTTCAGCTCGGGGGAGTCTGGAAGGTCTGGAGGGAGACAAAGGGAGCCGGGGGAGTCATTGTGCGTTCTGCGTGCACTTGTAGACACACAGTCAAGACAGGCAGGCAGACACGCAATTACCCAAATTCAACATTACCTTCCACATCCAGTAGCTCACTTCCGCCGTGTGCAAACACGAAGAGCATACAGCGGATACAAGCACACATCATTTCGCTCGCCATATGCCACCCAATCAGGAGCGGAAGCCGGCGCCGGAATGAGGAACTCAAGACGAAACAACACTTTCCCGTCGCATGCCGGAGTCCTTGGAAGTGTAGTTTGGGGTTTAGTAAGCGGGAAGAGTTGGAGGCGTCCCCCTGCGGCCTAATTCACCGCCGCACTCTGGCTTTTGCGTCGCGGAGCGCGCCCGTTGGACTGGAAGGTGGCGTTGAGGGAGATCAGGGTGTGGTGTGGCGATGGCTTGTCACGGTGGAGACCCTCTTCACGGACCGCTGACTCAACGGGCAGATGAGACGCGATAAGAGCAACCGTGGAGCCACCGCACCTCGTCCTCAATGAGGACGCCAGGTCCCAAAGCCGCGTGCAGCGCTTTGCTATCGATCAGAGGTTTTCAAACTGAAGAGCACCAATATGTCTGTTTGCATGCATGTTTTTTGGAGAAATAATCAACGGACAGGTTTTAATTTAAAAAACAACATAAACTATTCAAGCCTCCTAATCACAGATGTTTAATGTTTACAGCGCAGATGTTGTCATTAGGAGAGAAAAGGAAGATAACTGGACCTTTCATTGGGGCTCACTGATCGGCATGTGCTAAATTAAGATGACATCAACCTCCTAAGACTAAATACATCTTCTTTGTGCAGAATCCTACACTTGAAGTGCGCCAGAGGATTTATTTTAACATTCAGCTTTCTTAGAATGTACCAAAATATCACTCATCATGTATAATAATCTGTTATCAAAGATGTAGATTTGCAGTGGTGGATAGCAACAGGGCACATTATGACCATTCCACACAATAAGCTTTACCTTTTGTGTCCTTGATGTTAATATTTGTGTACTTTTCATTGTATAAGTATATTCTGAATGCAGGGTTCTATAATTACAATTACGTGTTATTATACCACTTTTATTCAAAGACCTCCACCCTGCTGATTCCAGGACGCTCTCCACCCGCTGAGGGTTCTCTTTATGGTTTGTGGCCGAGCAGAAGATGCAGAGGATTGTGTTAAAAAAGTAAAGAAATAAAAGACACGGGTTCCAGCAGCGTTCATCTCGCTTCATTTAGAAAATAGAAAAACAATCAGTACCACAAGACAAGAAAGCACACAGTACTGCAGAAGCCCTAACCATTTGAATTCAGGCTTATATCAACCACTGCACATTAGCAGATAAGTAAATATCAGTGACTCTTGATAGACGGGTTGGTTTGTAACTCTGCTTTCTAACCAGCAGATGGAAGCTGTGTTCCGCTGTGATTTCTTCCTCAGTCACCCGTGTCTGAATAGTCACTCAACTGCAATCGGTTGCTGCCAGTTCCCCTTAAGCTGCTTCTTAAATATCCCATTCATGGTTAATAATCCCCATAAACAGGAATCAGGTCTCAGTAGATGGCTGCGGATACTTGGCCTCTTCAGTCAGCTGCTTATCTCTCCGCTTTGGCACGCCGTATGCGTGTTAATGTAATCAGCCAGGAAGCTACCAGCGTACACGCGCAGGAGGGCCTAACCGTAATGCAACAAATGCAGCGTGGTTGGATCTGGTGAGCTTTATTGAGACGAGGGCTGCTTATTATCGCCACTGAACAGCTGCTGTCTTCAGGCCTCAAGGAGACATGGAGGAAAGACGGCGCAAACACTCCTCCCCCACGTACGCCAATATCTGACAGCACGTGCTTCCTCCTTTCATTATCTCTATAGAATCTACGGGTCATAATGGAGACAGAGGCGCTCAGAGCAGCTGACGTGGTACGAGATGCGAGACAGTCCAGGCTTATCGGTCGACAGGACGCAGGACTTTTATCCAGAAGGCCTCTGGAGGAGTTGCATCCTACTTAGAAGAGGTGAAAAGCATGCAAACAGACGCACATCCTTTTTTAATGCAAATGATATTGATGATAAGACGAAAAAGCACCAGCGCACATGGTTGTGGTTGCTAGGCGACAGCGGTTATCAACGGTGCAAAATGTGTGTGAGAGCTAAAGTAGTTTCTACGACCTCGAGAGGCTGAAAACACCGTGGAGCTGCCCAACCTTAGGAAACAACCACTCAACCACAACAACCTAATAAAAGGCAAGCGTGTGTCTCGTCTGCTCTGGCTCTGTTAGCTGCATATGGAGCCTTTTCACCACTTACGTGTCTTGCTAATTCATTCTTAGTGAATGACAATGAATGAGCTGAACGAGGCTCGTGGAGACGTCTGAGAGTTCTTGGATTTAAGTTCAATGACTAGTCGCTTGAACTCAGCAATATGTAGCCTACATATGCATTAGCGATACACGTAAATACATATACAATGATGAATTCCCATCTGTGCTGTGCAAGGTTGATGCATGTCAATGGTAAACTGAAACTTGACTGATATACGGTCATAAACACATTTTGTGATATCAGCACTTCATAAGGAGACAACACAGTCACAAACTCTGCTGATACCATCGGCGTTGATTAGGTGTGCCGATGCTGTTTAATGACATTTTCCGTTTGCCGCTGACAGGAAGTGAACTAGAAGTTGTTGCCCGGAGCAGCAGAAGTCCACATTTAATCCACGTCTAGTTGCGTTGGAGTATGTTTAAGTGGAGAATGTTGTTACCCAAGGTTCCTTTTTGCTTTGGTTACCTGTCCCGGATGCCTGCACATTCGTGCACGTGCCCCATCATGGCCGCCGCTCTGCGCCGCGCTCATACTGCGGCAACAGCTGATAACCCCCCGACCTCGGGTTTACCCCCCCTCCAGGTAAACACTATTAGCTTGGTCAACACCGTTGCAGCAGAGTGTGAACGCAGCTGCGGCTTTGTGAGCACATAATCCCACGATTAGCATCCACGGATGTGTATCTGGTTGCTAGGCGCTAGTTAGCTTCATTGACCTCGCGTGGTAGAAAGCTCTGTTATTAGACTTGGACCATCGGTTGCAAGTGGAGGTAGTGACTGTGAGCTCACCCATTTTGGATGTGTGGCACCAGTCCAAAAAAACATGTGTCAAATCTTAACTTGACATTATAGCATCCGTGTTCCTCACTTGTTTAATCAACTAACGCTAACAAAAATGTCCCTTTTCTTCTCCCTCCCAGCTTACACGGCCTCCGACAACAGGCGCCCTCGTTAGAAAACATGGCATTCAGATCTCAGATCAGAGTTATTGGCGCCGCCTTGATGTCGACCTTAACTCACACGAGGGAGTTCATGCAAATGAGCCCGTTGTCGCCTTGCCGATCTGATATGCTAATAGTCCCTCAGACCTTGACTGGTATTTTGCTTTGTAGACGCGGCGTTAGTTGCCTCCGTGGTGCATTGTTCAACGGCGTTGTTTTCCTGCTCTTTTATTTCACTGCATGGGGGGAAAATAAATATCTTCAGGACCCCAAAAAAATGTATTGTACTGACTTCGATGAAAGCACTTCCTCAAGCTTCTTTTAGAACAGTTCTGAATAAAAGACAGATAAGATCAGGTGTAGGTAATCCTTTTTGTATTACAGTGTCTCAACAAAATATATTATAAAAACGGTGGTAAACTGAGATTAAATGCTGATGAAGCCACACAAAACTCATTCTTATGCGCATCTACAATGAGCATCTACACTGAAACATACACATGTTCAAGCACATTCGATCTATTATGATACAATATATATGATGATGTGAGGCATGTATGAAGACAGCCACCAAATGTCACATCTGTCAGCTAAGCTATTGAGTCACAACCAGTGTCCATGTTATTATAGTTTGACCATTTCCATTAGTTTCATAACAGTTTTTGGGGCGGATTTTTATTTAAAATTATGCGTGCCATCGGAGGGGTCTTGCAGTGTGGCAGCTCTTGTCAGACTGGCATTTATTGTAATGATTGGCATTTGGCCTCCGGCATCGGTAAATCTCTTTTCAGGCGGTCATTAACATATTTTCTCCCTCACAACTTTCAATTTGGAATACGTTGCCATCTGACCCTCGTTTCAGATTTGTAGAATATGAAGCGTTTTGGAGAGCACTTGTGGAATGTCAAATCAACTCGTCAACATCAACAACAACACGGACCGAGACTATGCAACGGTTTATGCATATTTAGCTCTTATGTCCCCTGCAGGGAAATTGCAACCCCCCCCCCCAGGATGCCCCCCACCCTGTGGGATTGGGATTGAAATGGTCTGACATCCAGTTAATTAATACAAAAAGATGTGTTTTAGTAGGTAAGTAAGGCACCAACCTGCGTCCATCCAGACACCTTTGAATTAATATTTCACAGTGCTGTCAGACTTCAGTTTGGAGGCGGTGGTTTCTAATGCTCGGCACTACAGCGCGCGCTCTGTATTTACCCACCGCAGCCAAACAACCACTTCACATTCACAAGAGGCAGAAAAATGCATTTATTCTCATGGGAAGCTCGTCCTCAACATGATAACATCTTGAAAGTAGGTCACCTGGAATTGAGTTGTTTGTTTGTCGCTAAAATTGAGCTCGAGCGGTTCCAAAAAGCAGCAATTGTCTGTCAAGTTTTGGTAAAAAAAACACAAAGTATATTTCACTTTGATAACATTGACAACCCGCCCGAACCCTAACCTTGCAAAAACAACACTGGATTGTTTTGATGTTCCTCTGACTCGTCAGCCGGTTCATCATGGCTTTATCTTACTCAAGATAAAAATACAATAAGATGAAGAGTATGGGACAGTTCACAATGACAACCTATGGATAGCTGATGTTTGAGCATGTTCGTGTTCAACATTCTAACATCTAATTAGCACTGCACGCAAAGTGCCGCCGAGGCTAGCGGGGGGATCTCATCAGCATGTATGTGGCCCACCAACAACAGATTAAAATCTCCTCATAGTAATCTGTCCTGTAGCTGCAGGCAGTGACAGAGGAAACGTCAGATGATCCCCCGAGTTAGCAGGATTCATTGTGGAGGAGCAACAAACGTCTGCACTAAATATTCATAGGGAGCGAGCACGCTAATGAACACGAATCCTGTGAATCCTGAGTACAATACTTCAGAACGAACCTTCTATTATACATCATAGTTGTATCTGTTCAGGCTATTGAACTACCACTGCTGCAGTTCCGAATTAAAATCCAGAAGAGGTTAAATATTGATTTATTGCCAGAAGACCCTCTGAGCGAGGACATCATCAGGGGGATCCCTGGAGTAAAGATACGGAGTCGGTGGCTAGCAGACACTCAGTGAGAGACAAATGGTACGAATATGAAAGCGTGTTTGTGTTGAACACGCCTAATCGCCGAGCTGAAGATTTTCAGAAATCAGCTGGTGGAGTAATTAAGCGTAGATCTTTTTTTACCCTTTGGAACCGTCCTCCATCAGATAACAACGATAACGCAGCAACGGTGACATAATGCGTCCTTTATGGAAGCCAAACAGACCGGCCCAGGCAAGTCCCTCTAACTGTCACATGACTGCCGCCTTATCACGCCGATCAAATCTCAGCGTTTACAATCACTGACGCTGCTCCACCACCATCCCCACCTCCACCTCCACCTCCCCCTCTGGCTCTGACCTGCCTCGCCTTTGCTTTGCCCCGTCCTCCTTTTGGTAATCGTGTCCTACGCTGTGCTGTCGCCTTCTAAGCAGCAGATCCGTGCCGCGCAGTCAAATAAACGCATCGCCATCAGGGGCCTTGGGATGCATGACACCGGTAACTGGGATCAAACGGCGGCTGCCGGCGGTGACCTCGTTTCTACCCTCAGTGAGTTCGGGGAGGAGGCGTTGCGTTGGTGGAACGGGGAAAAGAGCTGGTGATTTCTGTACTCGATTAGAACAGAACTTTCCAAGCGAGCTGTTTCCAGACGCGGGAGCGAGTTTGATCCCCCTGCGAGAAAACTAATGAGCCCGCGTACCCGAATCAGTGAGTTTCAATTCAATTAGTGTTCCGTTTCCGGTGCGTTTCAGAAAAAGGGACCAAAAAAAACTCTACAATAATAATGTAAAAGACACAAGAATAAAAGAGTTCAGAAAAACGCTGCTGTTGTTTTGTTTTATTTGTCCAATTTGTCTTTTTTCCATCATAACAAGGACATTTCGCAGCATCCGTCGTCGGCAATACATTGATACATTACATTACATTACAATACATTGATTTGATGATGATTACATTACAATACATTGATGATATGGATGCTGTTGTACTTTCAGGTCTCTTCTATAATAAGTATAAAGAGGACTCACTCCAGTGTAATAATCTTCACATTGAAGAATACGTTCATATTTTTAACCAAATAGGTTCACGTGTGCTTCAAGAGGCATTAAGGCCTTTTAAGTTTGTCCCATTTATGAGTAAATTATGCCCTTAATAAAAAACTTTCCCAAGAACACTCATTTATTGATTTACCTTACCAGCAATTACATTTTTAAAATGTTAATAATCAGTATAAATTCATACACATGTTTGTGTGTTTGTAATCTCCTTATTGTTTTATGAATATATGCCAAAGGTCAGAGCTATTCCTTTTGTCAATAAGCTATCAAAGAAATAGGAGGAAAATAAAGACTTTGACCCCTGTGGTGTTTCACCTCTGAGTGGAGACGTCCTGGCCCGCGTCTCCAGATTGACCAACTCGTGACGTTCCGCGGTTGTGTACTCTCGGCTACCAATGAGATTACGTCCAGATTACAGCCAATGAGGACGGAGCCAGCCAGTCGGCTGGGTGTGTTGGGTTGGAGTTTAAACTTTGGACCACAGAAGAAGAGCTGCGAGATACAGCGGAGGCTCTTTCCGAGCGGAGACGTGGCTCCGCAGCAGAGGAAAAACATTTTTGGGCTAAAACTGTTGTTTTTTGTTGGGATTTTATTTTTTGTTGGGGGGGGAGAGGGTTTCCACTGAAGCAAGCAAACTATGGAGCCCTACCAAGATGAGGTAAACAACCGAATATTACATAACATATTTCAGTGTGGTTAGTCGGCCAACTTAACCTCCAGGTTCTTATGATATCTTAAGATAAAGTCTCGCGACAAGGGTCGATTCTCCTGGAAAGTTACGACACCAATAAGTCAACTTCTTCGAAGGACCACGGTCAAACATCCACAGACACAGAGGCGTCTGGTGGCTCGAGGCCCGTTCGGTGCGGATCGCAGGGAATGTTTTCGGCGGCAGAGAGACACAGTGTCGCCATTGAACGTCCCGCTCTCATTTCAGGGCTGCGACGGCATCGAGCTGCTCGACTGGCTGTTCGATCAAAACGAGGGGATCCTCCGTCACGAGGAAACGGGACGCCATGGCAACCATCACGCCTGGCCGGTCCAGGACCCGAGTGTACGTTGACATTGTGTGTGCTGTGTAGTTCCTCCTCGACACCCTCTGGAGGGTCTGCTTTAAACAAAAAAAGAAGAAAGGAAGCCTGTCCTCGTCTCTCGTCTTGTCGTCTTGTTAACACTTGTGGGGGCCCCTCAACAGATGCCGCCGGCGGACGACGACTTCCTCAACGCCCTCCTGAGAGGAAGCAGCGGCTCCGCGTCGGGCTCGCCTCTCTGGGCCTCTTCTCCCAGCGACAGCGGGATCAGCGAGGACCCGCCCTCGGACCAGATGGACAGCCCCCGGCGTCCCGAGAGCCCCAACGGGGACGCGCGGTGCTTCGGCGCGAGGCCGCGGACCAAGGCGGGCCTGGAAGCCACAGCGTCAGCTGACCTCGGTGAGTGACGCGTGTGGCCGTGCTTGCTTTATTTGTCACAAATCTCTAAACGCGCTAAAACGTGCTTCGGAATAATTGTAATATACCAAAGAAATGATGATGTGAGTATTTGAATGGTGTTTGAGTAGAAATTACATACAGACGGGCAGAATTTTCTGATTAATGGAGTGCAGCAAAGAAACGTCCAACATTCCCTCAAAAATGTGCTCACAATGAAACAGCACTTTGGAAACTGGCTTTATTCAGTGATTCCATCTCCGCTCTGCGTATGCAAATGAGCACATATTAAAAAAAGATAGTGCCTCATTTTTGTTAATAAAATGAATGTCGTGCAAAACTACTCTGAAATGTTGATATCTATACATCCAAATGAAAAACAAATAAGTCAACGTGACGCCTCAGTCACAGCTTTGGATTGTGAACGCACATTACCCGTCACCGCGCGTTCGAGGGAACTGAAGCGCTCAAAGGCGAAGAAAAGCACACATTTTGGGAGCCAAACAGAGTAATTGGTAATTGTTTAACATTCCGGCTCCAAATGCGCCGTTTCCTTTTTTGTTGTTTACCACCGAACCCCAGCAATGACACGCGCTCGCTCGGCGTGCGTGTCCTTGTGTCTGCAGATGGCTGGCAGGCCGCATTCCCAGCGGGCCGGACGGGGATCACACAATGCCCCCTCGATGCGCATCGAGCACAGATGCCCTCTGGCTTCGCGCTGACTGTCAAGGATCTGCTGCTGTCTGGCACCCAGGAGCCCGTGAGTGTGTCTGAGTTTGTCGCGTCTGTCGGTGGGGACGGTGCAGGCGGAGCAGGTGGGAGACGGATACTGTCTTACCGGCGTTAACGCTCGGGACCTGCTGTGTGGGTGTGTGGGAAGGCGTGCGGGCATTTTGGTGAATACATTTGGCCTTGTTCCGGTTTTAGAACTTTTATTTACAAGGCGGTGTGCTGAGCATTGGGCTTCGTATGCTGGCACAAAGAGGAGGAACAAGCAGATTGTCGTTTTTCGTCATCTCGAGTTCACAGCTGCGGCCGCGGATGCCGTCTTGCTTTCCTTGGAACCGGAAGTCCCGCGAGAGCGTGAAGCTGAACGGGACCGAACGTCACACCGCAGTTTGAGACAAACAAAAAAAGTTGGAGTTGACTTTTGTCAACTCAAAACACTGCGAATGGCTTAAATTTCTGAAACAAAAACCAGGATAAAACCTCACGGCCGCCCCGCCTTCAGCTTTATCAATCTACTCCACTGTAAATGGAGGCGTGGGAGCGGATAGATTACTAAATTGCTTTTGGTGGACGCGGAGCATCGTGGAGCGGCGTCCATTATCTCAGAGAACCTCCTAGCTCCGAGGCGGCGCCGCTAACCCCACGCCGCACCACATAAAGTGGTTATTTGTCATAATCGTTTCATTCCCAGAATGAAATAATCCTCGAGGTGGATGTTATCACATGACCACCAGAAGCAAAATAAATTGTTTTTGCTCCTGAAACGGTGGTGCAGGGGTTTGGATTTCATCCCACGGCGGGTATTGATCCCATCTCACATGGGATGAACAACTTTCTCACTCCGTAATTGCTTTAAGGGAGCCACGAAATGAGTGTGATCAAGGTGTCCTGATAGTCGGCACTCATTTAACTACTTCCTGTTGGTGCTCTGGGGAGAATGAGAGAAGGGGGGAGGGGAGGAGGAATTCTGGAGATTGAATTGCTGAATTACAGAAAATTGAATTGCTTTTAATATTAGTATTCATATTTCACCGGCAGCCTCCGCACCCTCCTCACCAGTCCATTCAGGAGCTGATTCTCAATGAAGATGAGAAAAAGCTCCTGGCGAAGGAGGGGGTGTCTCTGCCCGGCCAACTACCTCTAACCAAGGTAAAGCGCCTCCGATCATCCGCTCCTGGAGTTCATCTGGATGGGGCTCAGAATTAAAATGCCCCCCCCCCCCTCCTGTCCATCTAGTACGAAGAAAGGATCCTGAAGAAAATACGCAGGAAGATTCGCAATAAGCAGTCGGCTCAGGAGAGCAGGAAGAAGAAGAAGGAGTACATCGATGGGCTCGAGAGCAGGTGAGAGGGTCCCCGAGAGGACGAATGCGATACAACAACCGCTTTTCTGAAGCAAACTATTAGGGCTTCGAGACAGCTCACGGTGGGCCGCTGCAGACCCCGAATTCACCACAGATAAGCAATGCTGCTCATGTCGCGTGACGGTGAATTTCATTTCCGACCTTTGGTGTTCCAAGACTTGTGCCGGATATGAAAGGCGACGGCTATTTCTGAAACGTGTGAAATCACCTAAATGAGTCACTTCCTAACCAGGAGAGCTTATTTCATCATTTGCCGGCGTGAGGCATAGTTTATTGTTTTGCAGGAGTTATCTCATTCTTCTGTCCCTCCCCTCCAGGATGGCTGCTTGCAACGCACACAACCACGAGCTGCAGAGGAAAGTGTCCCAGCTGCAGAAATGCAACATGTGAGACATTTTAAAATGTCTTTCCCCCCCCGTTTCCTGGCAAACCGCCTTTTCGACGTCTTACCTCGACCTCTTTGTGCTCTCAACCCCCCCCCCCCCCCGTTGGTTGTTGGCCTCCGCAGGTCGCTGAAGGAACAGTTGCGCAGGCTGCAGGCCATGGTCATGAGTTCCTCCCACAAGCCGGCCCAGGCTGGGACGTGTGTGCTGGTACGGGCTTTCGTGTGACGATTCCCATCACTCTCCACGACTGAGTAACCACAACAAGTCTCTTCTTTTTCTCCCCCCCCCCCCCCAATCCATCACGCCCGTATAGGTGCTTCTGCTCTCCTTCTCGCTGATCCTGTTCCCGAGCCTCAAGCCTTTCTCTGACGCCAAGGTCAGCCAAGGAGACTTCAGTCCAGTCAGAAGTGAGTCACCTTCGGTGCCAAACCACTTTGTTGGCCCGCCCGCCTGCTGCTGAGTCGATGGGCCCTAATGAATTACCATTAATTATCCCTTTATTAATAGATTTATTCACAAAGGTGAAATTTGTTATCGTGAGCTGTTTGACAGCTTTGAAAAAATAAATTGGAGGCTGTACTCTCCCTATTGCTATGAGACCAGTTTTGAGAGCCAGAGTTTTGACTAGGTCCAAAAAAAAACTCCAGAATATAGAGAGTATATTAGAGGAGGACGTGATAATCGTGGCCGACCTCAACTTTGAAGCCTGCAGCTCTGCATCACCAGACTATGCTCTGAGGTATATTTCCCTCTAAAAAGGGTCATAATTAACTAAATGAGCATCACGCTGTATTGACAAAGACTTCAAAGTAGCAAAATGAGACTAAAATCTCATATTAATAAGGCAGAAAGAAGAGAATCAGGGTGGTTGATTAGTAGCTAAACATCCAGTTTATATGGCAGGAAGCATAAACGGATGGTCAGACTCTCATCTGCTGAGTGTCTTCATGTCTTCAGGTCTAAACTCGACACGTACGAAACGTCTTCATGACAAGCAGCTTCATGTCCACAGGGGCTCAAACTAGTCTTTTTTTTCTTCCCATCGCAGTCCAGTCACGTTCCCTGCAGAACCTGCAGGCTTCCCGCGTCCTGCACGTCACCGAGTTCCCCGCCGAGGATGAGGTGGAGCCTCTGCACCGGCACGTCCCGGGACGTCGGGACGTGGAGGATATTACTGCCGTGATGGAGAAGCTGGGAGTGAGCCCGGAGAGGCCCGACGCGGAGCCCGTGGCCGTGAACAGCAGCCGGCAGGAACGTGTGGTGGATGATTTCCACGTGGACCCAATTACCGGTCACATAGCTTCCCTGACCTTGGATCCCCGGCGCTCTGCGAGGCTGCGACCGCACGCCGACGACATGTGAAAGGACGGGATTCATCATTTCTACGTGAATTCCCTAAATCGTCCTGCTCCTGATGGCAGAGCGGGCAATTATCTGTTTTATACAGTTTAAAATAATCGTTTCTGGCCTTTTAATATCGTTTATATATTTAGTTTGTATTTCTTTTCCGTGGTTGCGATGCTGTTTTATAGCGTGTTTTTGTTTTAATCGTACACTGAAATTGCTTTTGAAGATGAACTTTGTAATATTATGCTCCTGGCTTTGATAAGATGTCAGAGAGAATTAGTTTGTTTAAGAATGTCAAAAAAAAGCTGGGCACATTGAGCTCTGATGATGTGTACAGTTTTGATCCCAACGAATAATTTAAAAAAATGAAAGGATTTTTAAAGCATGTTTCCATTTAATAATTTATTGGAAGTGTTTGGAATAATTAATGAATAAAATCTGCCTCAAATAAAATATGTCAAAACGAAATCAGTGGGTTCAAAGTATGTTGGATTTTTATTTTTATCATATCAATTTCTGAGCTTTTATGTCAATGTCAATGTCAATTTTATTTATATAGCACTTTTAAAGGCCAGTGGCCAGCCAAAGTGCTTTACAGGATAAAAACAATCAGCATCAATAAAACAATACAAGCAAATGTAAAACAAACAAACAAGAAAAAAACAGTAAAAGGCAAACAAATAAAAGATCCAATGCAGGTGATTAAACTCAGGAAAAGGCCAATGTGAACAAGTGAGTCTTAAGGCGAGTTTTAAAAGTGGAAAGGCTCGTCGCAGCAAAGCGTTCCACAGTCTGGGAGCCGCTATCTCCTTTCGTTTTAAGGAACGACCGAGGAACGTTCCGAACCAGCTGGTCAGCTGACCTCAGGGCTCTGGAGGGTTGATGCACATTAATAAGGCTGGATAAATATTCTGGGACCAGTCCATGCAGAGACTCAAAAACAAATACAAGACTCTTAAAATCAATTCTGAACCTAACCGGAAGCCAGCGGAGAGAGGAAAGCACTGGCGTTATGTGCCCGTGCTTCTTTGTCCCGGTCAGGAGACGGGCTGCTGCATTCTGCACAAGCTGTAGACGCTTGAGTTCAGACTGGCTGACATACAGACATACAGGGAGTTGCAATAGTCCAAGCGCAAAGATATAAAAGCATGCATGACTTTTTCGAGGTCAGCCCGGTTTAGATTGGGTTTGATTTTGGCTAGAAGCCGAAGCTGGAAGAAGCTATAGCCTCAACCACAGAGCTGACCGGCTTGTCCAATTTAAACGCCCCATCAATAATCACGCCAAGGTTTCTGGCCTGGGAACCTATGTAAGGTGCTAGTGGGCCAAAGGACCTGGCAAGAACCTGGACCAAGTCAGGGCGACCAAATAGCACCATCTCTGTTTTGTTTTCATTTAGCTTTAAGAAGTTTAGGTCCATCCATGTTTTAATGTCCGTCATACAATTAAACACAGCATGGAGGGGGCCTTTAGTGGCAAGTACACCTGCACATCATCAGCAAAGCAATGGAAAGGGACATGAATATAAAGCAACTCGCAGCGCACATTACAGGGCCTGAAGGGATACGATGCCAAGTCCACAAACCGAATGTGGAGTACAGCAGATTCAGAAAACTGGGCCAAAGGTGGAACGGGTGACCTTTAATCTCATGACTCAGACTTCTTACCCAACAATTTGCATGTTGATGTATTTATTTGTAGCTTGTGTCCACAACATTCACCGCGTCATCGATGGGGTGAAAGTGTTCTGAGGCTTTGCTGCCCCTTTCGGCAGAAAGATTGTAAAAGGACATAACAGAGTCCCTGATAGGTGGACAAACGGGAAAACTGGCTTATAAAGAGACATGACATTCAGAACTCTGAATTTTTTACCACCGTAAATAATTGAAACCTTAAATAATGGAAAGGAAGGAATGTTTTATAACGTATCAAAACCGAGTTGAAGGCCGAGTTGTTTTTTTCCTCAGAGCGGATAGAAGTGGACGCATTTCCACTTTCAAATGATATTTTATATATATTAAGTATTCGAGGAGCCTGGGATGGACTCCAGCCCCCCCCGCGACCCTGTGTGCAGGATAAGCGGTTTCACAATGGATGGATGGAAGTATTCGAGGACTCTCTCTGGGATATTTCTGGGCCCTTTCAAATATACAAATTTGAAAGCCCCCCCCGGTAATGATGCATAATTAAAGACACATGAAAGCAGAGGAATCCGAGCAGAAACTATTTCACACACCTGGAAAATCCATCAACCATTTCTTCTTTATTTGTTGTTCAAGCTGTTTTTCATATTAGACATATTATTTGTTATATACAAACGTGTTATCACGTATAGCAGGAGCCTCAAAGCATAAACTGCATAGTCTGTTTCACTCTAAATAGGACCGGAATTAATTACATGAGCATCATGCTGTATGTTTGGAGTTGACTCAAATCCAAGAGAGACCCGCAAAGCGCTTGATTTTTAGTTAGCAATTGATGATAAAACTGACATTTATTTTTCTACGCTTTGAATTCTAATCCCTTCTTCACTTTAATGTGTGATTAATGAAGGATTGTTCTCAGTCGACGCTCAGTTAATTAATTAATATCTGGGCGCTGGGTTTGCGTCAGGTCTTCATTGTGCATACTAACGGCTGCCTGCAAAGGGCAGAATTTGTGTTATATTTATGAAACAATACCTTAATCAGTTCAAATCTCAGTCGTCAATAGTCATAGATGAAAGTCAAGGGCCCATCCCAAGAGACCATGAACACACGATCCATCGCTGACCTCCACCCGTCGCCCTCGTGCTGTTGATCTACTCCGTCATGTTTCTTTTTTTCCTCTAATCAGAGCGATTGACCACCGGCGCCGTTAATCAGCACGCCAACCCATCTGTTTGATTAACCCGGTCCCTCGGGGGGGCCGGGAAGGGGCTCCCGGGCTACGACTGAGAGTTTGTGAGCCGTGAGGGAATCAAGGGGAGAGTCTATCAGTTGGAGCCGGCGTCTCCTGCTTTAATCCCCATGATGGGTTTTCTCCTCCGAGGTTCAACACTCTTACGTGTTTGGTAGAAAGATTCCCGTCGACCTCAAAACTCTCTTATTAACAAAATCGTTTTTCCAACTTCAAAAGGAAGTGAGTAGTCACAAGAGCTTGAACTCAGCCGGCAGAAACCCCAGGACGAACCTTTGTAACAGCAGCAACAGAGAGTGGTCCAGGGGCCCCTGTTTTGGGGGGGTTTGGGTGAATTGGAGCTAATTGCTAACAGCTAATATCCGCATCCTGGATCGTCCTCTTGCGTTGGACTGAGGACAGACTCAACGTTACAATTTCCCCTCAGGGACAAGTGGCATTAAAGGACGGGACACAAAGACATGAATGTATTTTACACAACCCAATCACATAATAGTATATTGTGTTAATTTAAATGTTTTTTGAATGTTCAATTGGAAAAAAAAAAACCTCTTTCACATTGCAGCGGATGCACTGCTATTCTGCAGCCTCATAATGCCGCTCATGTCCATCTTTAATTTTTGCTCTAAGAACTCTGGCACTCGACCCACTGCATCAGCACAGGAAATTAGCAGTGACATTGCCCTGTCATATAGTGATGTCTAATTATAATTATCCCTGAATGAAATTCAGTTTTACCCACAAGTTGATATGTGACGTATATGAAACTCATCTTTGCAACTATGCTTCTAATAAATGTTATCATAAGTTCATTTAATCTGTTTTACAACAGGTAAAGTAATGGTGTGACTTTAATATAGAATTTTGTTAAAGCATGAATTAAACGGTTGGATTCAAGGGGAGGTTTCCAGAAAAAAAAAAAATCAAATAATGAAATAGTTCCGCAGGTGCCACATGTTCACTTATTTAAAGACAGTCAGAAACTATGTTTATATAAGCTGCAATTGTATAATCTGAGTAAACTCCCTGGTTTTGTTCGGGCAATTTTTTCAGTTTTAAACTTGACTTTCAGTATTGAAAAGCAACCAAGGAAGAACCAAAACAATTCATAAACTCACAAATAAAAACTCTGTCAAAAGCAACATCAAAAAATTTCATTTAGATCTTTTATTAAAAGATCAAAATGATCTGTGGCTCCACTTGGTACTGAAAACGACACCTCAGAAAGCCTCGTCGTGCGCGCGTTGCTTTGGGGTCTACGACGCATTGAGCGTACGGATGTGAAGGCAGGTCCGCTACTCTGAATCCAAGAGGACGCGCCTGGTCCGAGTGTCTCACAGCAGCGCTGAACCGGATCCGAGACTGCTCTCCGTCCACCCTGGATTACTGATTGTTCTCAGCGTGTTGATGACTTTGAGCCCCTGGCCAGATGTTGTGAGCTGGCAGGAAAAGGCTCCGACCGGATATGTTCTACTCCTTCAAACAAAAATGAAGTCGTCCTGCTGTTCGGTATTATCTACGGCCCCCCCTTGCTGGGACAACAGAAGCGCTTATTCCTTCAGGCAGACGGTCTGCACTCCGGGGCAAATAAACATCAAAACGTGTCAAACCAATTGTTTTAATGATTATACCTTGTGGGACAAAGAACGAAGACACGTCCTCGTCTTGGGGGTCAGTAAGACACGGTTCACTCCAATGTAATCAGTCACGAAACGCAACAGGTCATACATACATAAATACATGCATGCATACATACATACATACGGTTTGCTCACCTCAACAACCCCTCTCCGCTCCACGGGCCGTCATGGCCGTAAGCTCACACTAGACATATATAATTCACAGTTACCGGTGGTCTTTGTCCTGTCTTCAGATGTCAAGAGTTATATGAATTATGCCATCGTGGTCCGTCACAGATAAGGTTTCCTGCTGGACCCTGATCTTTGACAGTTCAAGCCCACCTTTTGGCAACCTAACCTTTGACCTAATGACCCAACCTTGTATGAGTCAGAATCACAAACCGCTAAGTGCGTCATACATACAAGGAGTTCATCATGTCGGGTGGCAAATGCATTAGACGGTAAGACAAGACAAAAATGTGGATATGAAATATGGACATGTTAAATTTACACTTAAATGTACAATTAAATTGACAAAAGAACAGAGAATAATATAGAATTGAAATAAGGAGCACAGGCATGAGTAATTCTGAGGTGCCGGTGGTGTGCAGGTGAGTGACCGGTTGGAAGTCGGGATCACAGCGTCTCTCAGCAGGGCACCCGGACTCCGTTAATGAGCCCGAATGCTTCGATGATGATGTCTTGGCACAAGGTACAATCCCCAGGCGTCGTTCCCTTTACCTCCATTGATTTTCAACCTGGACCTTAGAAACCAGATGGTTTGGTCTACGAGAAAATACCCTCACGTTTCATTTGATTTATTACCCCCGTAAACTGAGTAAATATGAGTTGATGGTCCTAAAAAAATGATGGTGTAGACAAAAAGTAAAATAGGATATTGGGGCGTGGCTACACTGTGATTGACAGGTGGCCACCACAGCGTTGTCCAACCTGGCAGTTGTCCCTGTTTCTGTGTCGTAACTTTAACCCTTCGCCGGTGTATGTTCAGTCCATGAAAGGTTAAATGAAGGGTTAATTCTGAGTGACCAGAGCTGTCCGTCATTTTCCCCTTAACAGAATTGGCAGAAGTAATTGGGAAAGCCCTTTGAGCCTATTGAACTGCAGGTTACGAGGCAAAGACTTAATAACACAAAAGAAGGGGACAAAGGGAGAACATAGTGACAGATTTTCCATCACAACTAAAGGCTTTCTCCCCTTTTGGATCACGGGGTCATTGTGAGTGGTCCTGGACAGCAGCGTGATAACTTGGACTCGCTGAGAGCTGGTTCGGTGTGCGATGGAAGGTGCTTAGTAAGTAGACTGCTTGGCCTTAAACTTAAACCAGATTTAAACGCTGAGAACATTAAGGCACACTGTCAGTGCTCCGCCATTTGGAGGTTTAAGGCTTGTTCAAATGTACTGGGAGGGATTACTTCCAGAGAGGAGAAGAAACTCCAACAAACTTGAGGTAACAGGATGATGCAGCAGTAATATTTGTTATGTGTAAGACTCTTGTTTGTTTGAGTGTTACTCTCACTCTGCAGCTCCACCAGGTTGCACAGCAGGTTTCTGTTGTTGCCAGCTGGAAGAACTGAAGCGATTTTGTAGCACATGACGAGGTAAAGGAGGCATATTATTGCAATCTGGATGGACAGAAAACTGCACATATTTAGTGACTAAGGGGAAACTAAATAATGAAACTGATTCTACACATCATCAATATGTATAAGAGTTGTGCAATGTTGCCCAGACCAGAAATCTAAAAATCAAATAAAGCCAAGTTTTTGTTTCATTTTGCTGGGATGTCGGAGTCGAAGGATTTTAGAGAAGGGATGTGGTCTATCAGAAGGTCTGCTGAGTCCCTCAGCTCCTTTAAACCCACGTAGCTCCGGCCTTTAATTGACCAATTCTGCATTTCTGAATGTTTGGTATCTTAAACTACATTGCAAATTTTCATGTTGTCCGTTTTTATCTTTTTAATTTTATGTTTCACTCAATGCTCTTAACTGTTTTTAAATCTCTCTCCCTTGTGTTTGGGTGTTTTTAAGGACTTTGAATTGCCTTGTTGTTGTTGAAATGTGATACAAATACAGCTACCTTACCTTGCCTCGCTCTCTTTTTGTATTAATAAGAATATATATACACGTCCAGCCACTAGAAATCCATTTCCACCATGTTTTTAGGAATATAATGTTATTCCAACATCTGCTGCGCAGAGGGACCGTGAGCTGCGTGGAGCCTCAGATTCAGCGTTGGGATCATGTGACCTTCTGCAACAATAATAAACTAATGTATTATTTCTCTGAGTCACGCTTCGTTCTCACTAATGCTGCTCCCTCTCCTCGTGCACTATAACTCTCTCTCCAATGCTCGTTATAGTGTCAAAATTATAGGCCAACATTTTGAACTCATTGAAACCACCATGGAACTTAGTTGATCACTTCATTTAAGAGAATTCTTTGTTATTATTAAATAGGTTCTCTAAAATACACCTGAAAGTATATTCTTTTTTATTTAGTCTGAAAGAAAACCTGTAAAATAGCCCAAAGTCTGAAATTGGTGCAAGGAAAATATTTATTTTGGCCTACATTGAGTCTACAGCATAATGTCAAGTAAATAAATGCCATAAAAGATTTTGTATGGCTATTTCTTAATATTTCACCTTGTTTATAAATTATTACCGTATGATTTTAACTTTAATGTATTTATACTTCTATTGATACGAAAGGCTTTTACTCAATGTGTAAAGCAGCCTGATGATTTGAAACAATACAAACATAAAACCTTGGTGAGTTTTGTCCTTATTTTTAGTATTTATAAACAAAAGCATATAAAACAATAATATATCGCCAAAAATGAAAAGCTGAAACCACAAACAAACTTTTTTTCATATGTTTAGGACCATTTGTGATGTATTGCCAACAACATTCACCATATTCCGAACACTTTAAATGCATATGATGATCTTCCAAAGAGATTCTTCTTGGACAAAAGGTTCCCGCGCGTCATCTTCTCAATCTCTCCATGCGAGTAACAGCATCGAACGCAGCGTGTACATCTGCAGTCGGAACAAAGCGCACGCAGGTGTCCTCTCCAAATCTCTGCATATTTTACGCGCACAATTGTCTTTCTCGCGTCGCCAAACGTCGCCCTTAAAAGCGTCGCAGCGCAAACATGATTATCTGGAAGGAAACAAGGATTCACTGCAGACGGACGTGCCGGGAGACTCTGATGTGGAGATGAAGGTCCAATAATCCGGCCGGTGAGGTGCTGAGCGTCGACAGCGCGACCGAGCTCCGCGCGTTCACGTGGAACCTATAAACGGAGCGCGGCGCGCAGAGCCGCGAGAGGAGAACAGGATCGTCGTGGCAGAGGATCTGTGGCGCACCGAGAGAGACCACCTGGCAACACGGACACACCTGCAAAATGCTCACAACGCTCTCATCAAAAACATCTGGATCTCTACTTGTAACTCGTCTCTGCCAAACTTTGACGTCCAAGTCGCTGTGAGAGCCGCAGACTGCAGCCATGCAGCTGAATGAGACCGGAGTTCAAACACAGATCCTTCAGGAGGAAAACACTGGAAACTGTAGCGGCGGCTCCACCACCAACCTGTCGCTGCACTGCTGGCTGCAGCTCCTCACCAGGGAGTCCGTCATGGAATTTCAAGGCGACGGCTCCAACCTGGTGGTGCGCGTGATGATAGCTTGTGTCTACTCCATCGTCTGTGCACTCGGGCTGGTGGGCAACTCGCTGGCTCTCTATCTGCTGCACTCGCGCTACAGGCGGAAGCAGTCGTCCATCAACTGCTTCGTGATGGGGCTAGCCGTCACTGACCTCCAGTTTGTCCTGACTCTCCCTTTCTGGGCCGTGGACACGGCGCTGGACTTCCGCTGGCCGTTCGGCAGCGTGATGTGCAAGATCATCAGCTCCGTCACCGCCATGAACATGTACGCCAGCGTGTTCTTCCTCACCGCCATGAGCGTGGCGCGCTATTACACCATGTCCTCCGCGCTGAAGATGCACAGCCGGCGGGCGGCGGCCACCAGGGCCAAGTGGACGAGCCTGGGCATCTGGGCCGTCTCTCTGCTGGCCACTCTGCCCCACGCCGTCTACTCCACCAGCGTGCAGGTGTCGGATCAGGAGCTGTGCCTGGTGCGCTTCACGGACTCCGGCAGCTGGGATCCCCAGCTTCTTCTGGGTCTCTACCAGCTGCAAAAGGTCCTGCTGGGCTTCCTCATCCCTCTGATCATAATCACCGTCTGCTACCTGCTGCTATTGCGCTTCATCCTCGGCCGACGCATGGCCGACGCCGGGGGCCCGGAGGTCGAGCGGGGCCGGCAAAAGCGCCGCTCCAAAGTGACCCGATCCATCGTCATCGTGGTGCTGTCGTTCTTTCTGTGCTGGCTCCCCAACCAGGCGCTGACGCTGTGGGGGGTGCTCATAAAGTTCGACCTGGTGCCTTTCAGCAAGGCCTTCTACAACGTGCAGGCCTACGCCTTCCCGCTGACCGTGTGCTTGGCTCACACCAACAGCTGCCTCAACCCCGTGCTCTACTGCTTGATCCGCAAGGAGTTTCGGGCGGGCCTCAAGGAACTTCTCCTGCGCGCCACGCCGTCCTTCCGGAGCCTGACTCGCCTGCTGCGTCGCAAGGCCAAAGTGTCCGAGGCGCCGCCTGTCCTCGTGCTGGTCCCAACGGACGCCTGACTGGGCTGTTGGAGGACTCACTGGGTAAACAAGCTAAAGCCCCCTGCGATACTATCGATCTGGAGTCCATCTCGATCCTGTCAACAACGTCGCTCTGGTTCTTAAAAACAACATAATCTTAGTGGACTACCCAGTGGGACGTGTCCCGCTTTCACTGCAGAGGACTTTGATGAGCTCAACCTCAATTCATGCGCCTACGATCGACCGTCTGCTACACTCATTACCAATGAGACCTTTAGTCATCCAGCTTTCCCACCGTGATTGGATGGAGGATTCACTACAATGGATTGTGACCGTGAAGGACGATGGAGGATACGAGTATGACAAGTGGGGGGTTCCTGGTGTTCTGGCAAGTGTTTTTATTGATTCGATGGTGTACCTGTTTTAGGTTTTTCAGTGAAAGGGCACTTTTACAAGGTTTGACCATAATGCACCTCAGTGTATCGTTAGTGAGATGAGCGCTGTTCTTCGATGAACCTGAGTTGAGGGAATTCAAATTAGATTCATACCCTTGTGCGACACATCTTACGCTGGTCACACGTGGGCTGAGCACTTAGACTGTAATGTATGCGCACCAATAGAAACGTTTATGCTCACTATGACTCCCACGCACACATGCGTGTGAGCATATCTGGGTGCAGTTTTCTCATAGTAGATGTGTCACAGGGTGAATCATTCATAACTCACATTAAAGCTGAATATTCAAACCATTCAGACAAACGTTGTGTTTCTTCACGAAACACCAACCTTTGCTTCTTTGTTAAATTAAATTCCAAACAAGCTAGTAGCCGAGTAGAGTGACACGATCTTCTGTGAATGTGATGTCTCCTTGTATTCTGTCATGACTCTGAACATGTTTCGATCTATGATACACGTGTTGATTTGCTGTTTCAATGTAATGTTTCAATGAATCAATTAAAAGAAGGGCGTCAGATAATAGACACTCACTCCCCTGTTCTCTTATTTATGGATTTTCAGATTCTCATTATGTATTTGAGCAACGCCTTCTTGAACGCTACCAGCGCTGCGCCACACAAACAATCTATGAGCAACGGTAGCGAGAGAAGAGCCAACAATAATTGGAATTACATGGAGAGAAAAGCATTTCTCAATCCTCCCGAGAAACACGTTTGAAGCGAAGCCCTTAACGCGTAAACTTCCTTGGAAATGCCCCAGAGCCCCACCAAAGCTCCTTGGTTTGTTAATATATTTTTGGTCATTTAAAGAATTGGTGCAAAATAGAAAAAAGGTCAAACAATGAATGACAAAAAGCACATTTTTAACTTGGCATCGGCCCTCTTTTGCGGAGCTGTCCTCTCGACAGCCGACAGGAAGGAGGCCGGCCGCGTGCCGGGGTGTCCTCTGGACACGGTGCAGGTGGTAGGAGGCAGGAAGGAGGGCGGTGAAGCTATTGCCCTTGATGGACAACACCGGTGTGTGAAGGAGGAGAAGCGCGGCTCCTTCCTTCCTGCTGCTGTCAGACTACAACCAGCTCAAAGCACTGAGAACCCGAAAAACTTCTATCAATATAAACACACTGAGCAAATAGTCACAGTGGTCATTCTGCCCGTATACTCTACGTATTTCAGATATTGTGGATTCATGTTTTTTTACTACTGCTTATATACTTGTTTCAGTCTTGTATTCTTTAACCACGTGTCTCTGTTTGCACTTTGACCTGCGCTGCTGTAAATCCTGTGAATTGGGCCTCTGCCAAACTACTATCTTTTATTTAAAAGTATATAAAAGATCCTATAAAAGAGCCTACATGCACAGGCGTAGTGGTACAATTCCTGGTGTCCAGGTGCCCACGTGCACACATGTGCAGTCTACTCAGTGAGCGAGCGAGTTGGAGAAGGAGAGAGGGCTTTAGGCCCCGAGGCGGTGGACGTTTAGAGGCCCTTCCCTCCACGTTCCCTCAGTGTTTCTGCACAGTTTCCGATGAAAATCAGGCTGATATTAGTATTAAACTATATGTAGAAATAGATTCTAAAGAATGAAATAGAACAGACAGTGAGCGCTGAGCTCGCAGGTCGATACACACACAATTCACTAACAATGGTAGGCGGGCGATCGATTGACTTTGGGCCCCGACAGGAATAATCCGGCCGTATTGGGAAGCAGATTTAGTGACTTGTGAGACATTTACTCGAGAAAGTGATTCAGAGAAGATGACTGAGCAGTTGTGTATCATCACACCTTCAACTCTAAATCCCAGGGGGAGGAGGGGGGGGGCTTTGTTCTTTAAACAATGCAGTACCCTGTTTGTGGGTACTGCACCGGGATGCAAACTCACCGTGAAAAGATTATGAAATGATAATGAACAAGTGCCACGTCCAGGAGAACATTCATATGATCTGCTTCGGTCGCCTCTCCCCAGACAGCAAAGAGCAAACAAAGCTGATTTTGTTTCATTAATTATGCTGAGAAATATTTGGAACGTCCTGTTTGTGTGTGTGTGTGTGTGAGTGGCTACAGTACACACACACAATGATTTTCTCTGTGCCCTCAGCTTCGCAAGTATTTAACTTTCATAATTGAGCATTTGAATAAAGTAACCATGAGACTGATGTCCATAAAAGAGGAATGGCAACCAGTCAACAGCTGAGAATAAATGCAAACTCCTCCAAACCAATAAACCAACAATAAACAGGGAAACTGGAGGACTGAAAACTGACAGGGAAATACTTTGAGCTTATTTTATGCAAACGTTATAATATAACTATACGTTATACTACCTTATATCATCAGTGCCTGGAGATTTAACAGTAAGCTTCATAGATTTATCAACAGTTTGTCACGGTTTGGGTTCACGTCCTGTTTTATTTTGTAGTTTTCTGCCACCCGTGTCCCCGGGTAACTTCACTTCCTGTCTTGTCCTGTCATCCCCTGTGATTGTCTGTTGTGTCATGATTGTTTCCACCTGTGTCCAATCACCTGCACCTCCCTAGTGTATCTAAGCCGTGTGTGTCTCTTGTCACTTTGTGTCATTGTTCCATGTCCGGAAGTTCTAGTCAGAGTGTTCCTGCTCCCTGTCGCTGGTTTTGCCCCCTCGGCCTTCTTTGCTTTTGATTTTCTTGACACTTAAAGTCTTTTTGTTTTCGAGTCCTGCATTCCCCCCTTCCTGACACAGGCAGTCAACCATCTACCTTTCAGGTCGGGCTGTTGATACTACTGACACTACTCATCCAGGCGTGAAGGTGCCAGAACAGAGGGTTTCAGCCTTCGCCTTTCGGCGAGAGCCCAATGACAGTCCGACGTCACTTCCATCACTAGAATATCGAGGTTTCCCTCGTTAGTGTTTCACAGACTCCAGCTTATTTAGAAGCAACTCAGACACATAGTGTGTAAATGTCACGTAGCTTCCATCAAAAGGTCGTGACGCAAAGGAGACCCCATGCGGCCGGGTTCATCGTCTATACGGGTGATGCTGCAGACTGGGGGCCTCGTTGAGGGCCAAGAGGAATCGTGCAGCTCCTTTCATCTGCAATCAACATAAAGTAAACCGCCATTAGGAGGTGCTTGAGAAGAAAGACAGGACAGTAAAGTATGACAATATGAAATAAGCTTTGGGTCAAATATATTACGGGGATGTGGAGAAAAATGTGTTGATAATCAGAAAGAAGAGCACAAGGAGGCTATTGGTAAAAAAGGCCATAAATAAGTGTCCATTTATTAACAGATAACCCTCTTAAAATATAATCTCATGTATCTGCTCCATGTAACAGCTCCCTTTAATGAGATTCCAGATAAATAAATAAAATCCTCACGTCTCCCTTTTTTTTTTTTTTCTCGAACTCACCAGGCAAGAACTTACTTCTCTTGACTAATAAGTCCTTCAAAGCGGCACCTCACTCTATGCGGGAGTAGATTTCATTTCCAAGATCAATTCAATCCTAGATTCCAAGTTTTTGCAGGTGGATCTGAAGATTTTCAATGAATGCATCTGTGTGTGGCTCCACTTTTTCTCCATCATATCGTATCTTCAAAAGCCCATCGTGGGATTCAATTCACGCTGTCATAGCGACAGAATGCTTATCACTGCCTGTTAGAGGGCTTAATGAGTGCTAAGCGCTAACACAGACTGGCTCCCTCACCTCTGCGACCCTCCGATGAGCGTCCGTGGCACGTGGAGGGGTTGTTTGTAACCCGTGATGTGCCTGCATGTGATGTACATCTGGAAAACTAGAATGAGATTTAATGATATGTCATTAATCCCCCTGAAAATCTTCTGTTGGCTCTTCACTTGTCTGACTCTCAACTTTGCTCCCCGCATGCAGCGCAGAGATAAGATTTAAGACTCGTGATTTATTTTATTGCCCCCCCCCAAGGAGGAACAAGTCAATGTGGAGCAACTCCTCCGTGAACCTGGCATCCCTGCACATCATAAAAAGGGAGTTGTCTTATTTGCTCTCCGGAATAAGATAAGAAAATGCTCCAGCCGGCGGGAGAGCACACCGAGAAGTCGGAAAGTGGCAAATCGCACACTTTGCCGGCTGCTCTTACTATTTAGAAGAGGAAAAAAAAAGACTGCATTTGGATTATTCAATTAAAAGTAGAACAGAGAAAGTTTGTGGGTTTGATCTGCTTATTTGCGGAATCGGCCTACACAAACAATTGACGGTCGCTAACGCACAGCAAAGTTTAAAATTGTGATGGACATCAAATTGAGGCTTTTGGGTGATTTTGATCAGACCTATTTCCTAATAATGCAGCGACCTGATAACAAAAAGTCCCCACAGGTTATTTGCAACAGGACAAACGCGGCCGGACGCCGCCGTCATCGGCTGTCGCCGTCTTGCTGACCTTTCTCTGCTGACGAGGGTCCTTTCCTAGCCGAGGAGAACATAGATTAGCTAAAATACCAGCCAGCGTTTCAAGCTTTATCTGTTGGCAGTGCCGCCATGTAACGGAGCCCAGAGCGAGACAAACAAAGCTTTGGCCACACCAAGCCCGAAAAGGACACAACCCGTCAGCCATATCTGGAGCCATTATTATCACACGCGGCACGCCGGGCCGAGGAAGCAGGCGGATTGAGTGCAGGTCGACCTCGTCTGCACGGAGGTCTGCTAATCAGGTGCCAAACCTGAATGTTGAACGTTTTCACTTTATCGTCTGCTGCTTTGCGGCAACAACAGGTGATGAAAGTGAAGAAAGAACGTTAGACGGACAGATGTCTTGGCCCTCTACCGTCGCGGCTTCACAATCCGTCCACCTCTTTGGTCCTTTCTGTAATATCTCAATAGCTGTTGGTTGTATTGATAATGTCACCCATTTCACTCTTCGTCTCACCTTTAGATGCTACTCCTTCCTACACGCGGCCCCGTCATGAATAAAGGATTACCCTCTATATTAATATGATCTTAATCTCATGTGGTTCAAATGCCTTCAAAGGGAGAACACAGGGTCACAATTACCAAGGCAACGTAGCTACTGCTGTTTAGTATGACCACCGCCACCATCATCATCATCACCATCATCATCATTATCAGCATCATCATCATCATCATCCTCTAGGAACATCATCATAATCATGCTCCACGGGTCGCTGCGACCTCTTAGAGATATAATTAGGCCGTGACACGGCGGAGTTTCCATACATCTGTAGATTGAAAAGCGAGTGCTGAAGCTAAAAAAAAAAAAAAGACCTCAGGGGTCTCATCAATTAAAAAACAAA